TTGTTGAAAGTGGGTCATTTAAATATGGACTGGCCCATCCTTTCAAACTGACATGGAGCTCCTGCATTAAGGGAAGAAAAAATTTGATTTAGGGCTATAAGAAGTAGAATATTTCCTTAAAATTTGACTCAGTTCAGAAATAGATAAATAAACTGAGTAAACAATTCATTTAAAACAATTAAAGCAACGTGTAAACTGCCTCGTTACAGTGAAAATGAATATCCTTCTTAACAAAAGGGTTTTTAACAGATGTATTTTTTTAATCAAATTCTTTTAAACCCCTTCGTTCTATCTTATTTGAGTAAATTTGCAGATAATCCTTTATTAATTTCTTTTATTATTCATTATTCATCATTATTAGTATGCAACTGGAAAGTTTCATAAGCTATTCCTAGTAATTATAATTGTAAACATTTGTTAAGCACTCAATATGTATTAAGCAACGTGTTAATCTCTTTATAGAGAGATTCAGGGCTTTAAAAAATGCCATCTATACACTGAAGATGCCAAAGTTTACTTGTCTAACCCAGACTTCTACTCTCAACTCCATGCTCATATATCTGACTTCCTACATGACATTGCCAGTTGGGTGTCTGATGAACAGCTCAAATTTGACATGACTAAAACTGGCCTTCCTCCTCAAACCTGTCTCTCCCAAAGCATTCCCCATTTCAGTCAATGGTATCTCTATCCTTCCAGTTGCTCTGGCCTAAGCCCCAGGAAGCCTTGACAACTCCTTTCATTCAGAAATTCGCTCCTCCTCTGCGTGGTCCATGTACGTTGCAGATGCCTGCCTCGTCCTTTCTCTGGGAGTGTGCCCTAACTGGCTTAAGCCAATCAGCACTTTCCACTTCCCAGGCCACAGGCCAATCGGCATGAATCTCAGGAGTTTCGTTTGGAAAGATTGGGAGGGAGATGTCTTTCTCTCTCTTACTGGCTGTAAGACAGGAGGTCTATATCCCCAATTGTGGTAGATGGCTCTCCTTCAACTGGGAGGGGAGCCAACCTTGGTATAAAACCACAATCACAGACAACAGAGCATGGGGACAGAAAGAAAGTGGCTCTTGAAGAGGTTGTTGAGTTGCTGGATCAACAAAACCTGAAGCCTCCCCCAACTATGGACTTTCCAATTGTGTGAGTCAAAACATTTCTTTGTTGTTTAAGTCAGTTTGAGTTAGAGCTTTTGCTTCATGCACATGAAAGCATCATAATTAATACAGATTAATTGTACTTAGCCAAGCCTTCACATGTTGACCAACTTGCATTTACTTTGGTGAAACATAGAATGAAAAGTGTTTTCGCTTTCTCATGTTTTCATACCTCTGTGCCTTTGCTTATGCTGTTCCCTCTCTGGAGTGCCCATCCCACCACGTCCTCTTGGCAAATCCTACCCATCTTTTAAGACCTAGCACAGTCGTACCTTTCTCTCTTAGGTTATTTTTTGTTTGGACATAGCCTAGTTCTAAATATTTGACTCTAGTGAAGTCATTTGTTCTTTCCATATTTTCTCTCAAAAAATATTTATTTGTTCTCCTACTACATGCCAGGTACATACAACATGTAAGCCCCTTAAGGAGTTTACAAGTGGGATATACAGGCAAGTAAACAAGCAATTATAACATGGAGAGAGAAGTGGTGAGCTGGAGGAAATCCTGAGTGCAGTGGGAATGTAGTGAGGTAGTCTCTAATCCAGTCTTAGGGGATGTGGGTAACGGGAGTGAAGAAAGCCTTCCTGGAACAAGTGACAGCTACACACAGATTAAGAACCAGTAGGAGTTAAACAGACAGGAAAATGGGGAGGAATATCCTGGGGAGCGAAAGAGTTGCACAAAGTTCCAGCAACATCCGAGACTGAAGCCCTTTTGAGGGACAGTGTCAGAATGTAGAGCTCCAGAAGGAATGTGGTGAGAGACGATGCTGGAGTCCTAGGTGAAAACCAGACCAAGAGGGGCCTCACAAGGCTCACTAAGGAATGTGGATTCTATCCTGGAGACCCTTGGGAGGATCTTTGATGTGTGCTTAGAAAAAGCAAGGATGTTGCAGAGAGGAGAGGGGTTTGGGGGGACCCCAGTGCGAGAAGTGAAACCAGTTAGGAAGCATCTGATATGCCAGTCCCTGTCTGTCTCCTTATCTGTCATCTCTCCTGAGATGTCTGAGGAGGAGCAGACATAGAACTTAAGGAAGATGGAAAAAGCAGCAAAGGGGAGTACTTGCCACATGAGCCCACCAAGAAGGGGTCATTTGGGACCTGGAAGTCTGCCTTAAGAGATTAGAATGACATCAGTAATAGCAGTAATGGACATGATGCCAGTATCAGGTAAACAGTATTCCCAAGCTCACATGCCACATAATGTGTAGCAAAATTCAACAGTCGTTTGTGGCTCTTCAGACCAACTCCAAAGTTTGGATTTTAATCTCCTTATCCAAAAGTTTCATTGGAAATAATGGACATGATGACAAAGAAAGGAATGTATTGCTTCACCAGTAGATTTTATTAGCAATAAGATTCAAAGGTCACATGTCAGCAGCTCCTAACACCTGGTGAGAGTGAGCAGAACATCTTCCTTCACGGTTTCTTCGCTACAGAAGTTGAACCTGCGGAAAGAAAACAACATAGAGTCAGCTCTTCCTGGCACACACCTGCTGTGCTGAGCAAGAGGACAGCCTCCACTCTCCACTCAGTCTGAGAGCCACACCCTGTGCCCAAGACCAGACAAGGACTGAAGGAAAACCTCTTCTGTATAAAGGACTGAATTCTCCTTCCCGATTTTGTTTCATGGCTGTGCAATAGCAGAGAGGAGGTGTCATTGGACACCCCCAGAGACAGGGAGAGCTCATTTCTCACGTCCCCAAAGCACCTACTAACACTTGGCACATTGTCAACCAACACAAGTGAGGAAGAGTAGGGTCAGCATCATGACAAGAAATCAGCCAGAGTAAAAATTCTGAGGTCTGGTGTGACATTGGCAAGGCGTTCTTATTGTAATTCACTAGTTGACTGGAGATGACTAATTGTACTCATGACTGCACAGTACTTAGGATGCTTTGCTTGAATGAGGTGTGTTAGCATGTGTAATGTGCCTGGCACACACCAGGTGCTCAAAACCTGTTCCTTTCTCTCCATCTTCATTTCCCTCCCTGTGGTCTGATGGCTGGCAGACTTGTAAATGGCAAATTAAATGTTAAAAACTAACGTTGATAAGAGACTCAAGAAATGAAGGGCACATGATATCTACATATGAATAAAGGTGAACTGAATTTGCTTTGTAGTAGTTGAGAATTTGCTGGAGCCAAATGTCCTGCATATGAATGCTGGCACTGAGCCTTCGTTTAGGTATTCTTAAAACAGAGATAACAATAGTACCTACCTGCCATCACCACAATCAAGATAGTAGACATATCCATCAACCCAAAATGTTCCCCCTGCTCCTTTGTAATCTCTCCTTCCCTTCTCTTCCCATCTTCCCTCCCCCCAGGCACCCACTGATCTGCTAACGCTATAGTCTAATTGGAATTGTCTAGAATTTTAAACGAATGGAATCAAAGGTATGCACTCTTTTGTCTAGCTTCTTTCATTTAGTATAATTTAATTCAGTACAATTATTTTGAGAATCATCCACGTTGTTGCATGTGTTGCTAGTTCATTCCTTTTCACTGCTGAGTAGTGTTCCATTGTGTGGATAGACCAGAGTTTGTTTATCTATTCTCCTGTTGGTGGACAGGAGATTTCCAGTTTTTTACTATTACAATAAAAACTGCTATGAATAATCATAGAGAAATCTTTGTAGAGATAGATGCTTCCTTTTCTCTCAGGTAAATACTTAAGAGTAGAATGGCTGAATCATAGGTAGCTGTATATTTTCCTTTTAAAGAACTTACCAAACTGTTTTCCAAAGTGGTTCTATCATTTTATATTCCCATTTATATTCTTCACATCCTGACCAGTGCTTAATATTGTCAATCATTTTAATTTTAGCCATTTAAGTAAGTTTATGGTGGTATCTCTGTGTTTTGAATATTCATTTCCTAGTAGCTAATGATATATCTTTTTCTGTCCTTTCACTTTTGATGTATTTCTGTTTTTATATTTAAAGTACATTTCATGTAGGAAGCATACAGTTGGTATTGATTTTTAAAAACCCAATTGGACAATCCCTTCCTTCTAATTGCTATATTTAGATCATTTTCATTTAATATGATTATTGATATGGTTAGTTAAGTTTTTAGCTTGCTCTTTGTTCCCTATGTCCTTTGGTTTTTTTCTGTCTTTTTATGGCTTATTTTTTTTTTCCATTTTATGTCCTTGTTGGCTTATTAGCTATAATTCTTTGTTTTATTATTTTAGTGGTTGCTTTAGAATTTATACTATATATTTTTAACATTGCATTTTACCTTCAAGTGATATTATACCAATTCACAGATGGTATAAGAACATTACACCGTATGTTTTGATTTCTCTCTTTCTACCCTTTATGGCATTGTTATCGTATATTTTACTTATACATGTTTTAACACCCCACCAATAATGATATTTAAACATCTCATGCATTTTTCATGTAGTTACTATTGCTTATGCTCTTAATTCCTTTCTGTAGATTCTTTTCCAACTGGTATCATTTTCCCCTCCCTGAAAAGGGAGAGGGAATATCTCCTTTTAATGTTGTTTAATATAATATCTTCTTTTAACATTTTTCATAGTATTGACGTGCTGATAATGAAATCTTTCAGCTTTGCTATGTCTGAAAAGTCTCTATTTCATCCTGGTCTTTAAAAGATATTTTTGTGGGTAAAAATTCTAGTAAACAGTTTTTTCCTTTCGATGCCAGTCATGCATGGCTTAACGACAGAGATACATTCTGATAAATGCATCGTTAGGCTATTTTGTAGTTTTGCGAACACCATAGAGTATACTTACATGAACCTAGATGGTATAGTCTACTACACACCTAGGCTGTATGGTACTAATCTTATGGGACCACCGTCATATATGCGGTCCATTGTTGGCCAAAATGTCATCATGCGGTGCATGACTGTACTTTAAAGATGTTGTTCCACTGTCTTCTCACTTGCATTGTTTCTGATGAGAAATCAGCTGTAATTATTATCTTTATTCCTTTGCATGCAATGTGTATTTTTTTCCTCAGGCTGCTTTTAAGATTTTCTCTTTATACTGGTTTTGGGCAATTTGATTTTGATGTGTGTTGGTGTAGTTTTCTTCATGTTTCTTGTGACATCACTTGGATCTGTTGGTTTATAGTTTTCACCAAGTTTGAAAATTTTGGAGCCATTATTTCTTCAAATATGTTTTTCAGTCTCTACTCCTTTGTGGTCCTCACTGAGAAGTATATTAGACTTCTTGAATTTACTTCACAGCTCACTGTTCTTTTCATTTTTAAAATTCTTTTTTTTCTCTCTGTTTCATTTTGGATAGTTTCTATTATGTCCTCAAATTCACTTATCTTTTATTCTGTAACATGAATTCTGCTGTCGATTGCATCCAGTCTATTTTTCCTTTCAGATACTATGGTTGTCATCTCTAGAAATTCAATCTGGGTCTTTTTCTACATGTGCCATGCCTCTACTTACTTTCGAACTAATGGAAAACAAGTTAAATAACTATTTTAATGTCTGTGACTGCTGTTCTAACATTTGTGTCAGTTCTGGTTTGGTTTTAATTGATTGCTTATTCTCTTCCTTATAGGTTATGTTGTCCTGCTTCTTTGTATATCTGGAAAACTTTTATTTAATGTCATATATTGTGGATTTTAGCCTGTCAGCTGCTGGATAATTTTGTATTCCTGTAACTGAGCTCTGTTCTGGATACAGTTAAGTTATGTGGAAACAGTTTGATCCTTTCAGGTCTTGCTCAATTTAGGCTAATTATTTCCACTACTGAGGGAAGACTTTCCTAAATACTCTACCTGATATGTCTTGAATTATGAGCTTTTCCAGTCTGGTTGATGGAAACAGTTAGTATTCCCAGCCCTGTAAGAGTCCTGGGCACTGTTTTTTCTAATTCTTTCAGATGAATGGTTCACTGGCCTTGGCTAGTTCCCTCACACGTATGTGCTGATCAGTACTCTGTTGAATATTCCAGGGAAATTTCCAGATCTCTGAGATTCTCTCTCTGTAGCTGTCCTCTCTGATGCTGTCCTGTGAAATCCAGTTGCCTTGGATTTTCTGGATTCTTAGCTTTGTCTCTTCAACTCAGGAAGTGTACCAGGCTCTGCCTGAATTTTCCCTCATTGTGTATCATCCTGGAAACTCTCCAGGCAGTAAGCTGGGACAATGGAAAGGCTCCACCTTATTTGTTTCTTGATTCTCAGAGATGACTTTCTTCTGTTGCTTGATGTGCAGTGTCTTGAAAACTGCTATTTCATACATTTTATCTGAATTTTTGGTTGTTTCCGTTGGAAAGGTAAATCCGGCCTCAGTGACTCCATCTTTGCCAGAAGCAAAAGTCCCATCATTGTGCTTTTATGAGGACTGAATAACAGGATGACAGAAGAAGCATAGCACTGTGACTCAGAATTTGGTTTTATATTCAAAACACTTGGGCTAATATGGGTATTGTCATGATCATCATCATTGTCAGCTCACTTTTTCTGGTAGTTCACTATGGTAAATATCCTTTGGCTCACATGTATTTCAGTCTTGTTTAGAACCAATTGTTAACCTCTGTCTTCACTAAGAGGGCCAATGATACAGAACAGCCTATTTGTATTCTTTGGTAAGTGAAGTGTTTTAACTTACCCAGGAAGTGAACCCAGGAAGTTTGGGGAAGATACACATATTAAGCACACACATAGCACCAGGCACGGCTACTAAATGAAACCATTCTTTTCACCTTAGGATCATGAAGCCAGATTCTCATTCTAACACTTAACTTGTATCTTGTATCAGATAACACAGATAACAATCAGATAATACCTATCGAAGTTGTTTTCCTCAAGTTCTACACTTTCTCCTAAAGAAACACAAAGGCAGGGTTGGCCTGGTGGCGCAAGTGGTTAAGTGCGCACACTCCGCTGTGGTGGCCCAGGGTTTGCCGGTTCTGATCCCGGGTGTGCACCGACACACCGCTTGTTAAGCCGTGCTGTGCTGGCGTCCCATATAAAGTGGAGGAAGATGGGCACGGATCTTAGCCCAGGGCCAGTCTTCCTCAGCACAAAAGAGGAGGACTGGCATTGGATGTTAGCTCAGGGCTGGTCTTCCTCACAAACAAAAAAAAAAAAAAAGAAAGAAACACGAGGGATTAAAAAGCAGCTGTGGGAGCCGGCCTGGTGGCACAAATGGTTGGGTGTGCGAGCTCTGCTGCGGCGGCCCGGGGTTCACCGGTTCGGATCTTGGGCACACACCGGCGCGCTGCTTCTCGGGTCATGCTGTGGCGGCGTCCCATATAAAGTAGAGGCAGATGGGCACGGATCTTAGCCCAGGGCCAGTCTTCCTCAGCAAAAGGAGGAGGATTGGCAGATGTTAGCTCAGGGCTGATCTTCCTCGCACACACACACACAAAAAAGCAGCTGTTGCTGGGGTATAGGAGAACCATTGTAGGAGATTTAACTAAAAGTAAATGTTCAGTGGAAATAGAATTATAAAGGTGACTTACTACTTCAAATCTCTTTGGATTCTTATTACTTACAGTGCTCCATCATTTCTTTCCACTGTAATCTTGGATGCTCCTACTTTGGGTAGAGTTAGGTTGATCACATTGTTGTTCCAAAGAAATTTAACCTTCTGCACATCTCCAACTTCCACATCTGAGTCAAATTCATTGGAAACAGTATCGCCTGGATTGAGAGTGCCCCTTGGAAGTTAAGAGGTTAACAACAACACACATAAATATACATATAAATACATACATGTTTTGAAAACCAGCTTACATTGCATCTCTGGTAAGATGATTGATAGTACATTTGTTATGCTAATATATTAAATAAATGCAGATGTAAGCTAACTCAGTAGTAGTTCATTGGTCATCAGTAACTCATATCACTTTAAAGTCATGCTTACTTTAATAAAACTCCAAACATGTTTTAGTCACAATCTCCCACAATTTAATAAATGCTGACATCATTATATCATCTTTTCCCAGTTGTTTTGTGGGCAGAATAATTTTTACTGATGATAAATCAGATGCCACACATCAAGTTCAACATAAGTGGTTTTCTTAGGAAATAGCAGAAAAAATATTTAGAAACAGAATTGTGAAAAGAATTAATGTGCAAGGTTGAAATAATCTCTTCCTTTTACTGATAGGTGGCAGTACTATACTCCCATATGGTAATGAATTAACTCTTATGTCCATAACACACACTATGTGTGAAGTGTTCCAACATTTAAAGAGCTTAGAGTAATACTTCACTCACTCGAAAATTTTATACTGCCTGGAGTTTCCTTTATCTCCAAACAAAGAAACTAACACGTGTCCTGTGACTTTCTTTCCAGACAGTGTGACGGTCACCTTATACCTCCAACCTGCATGGGGAAAATAATTGCACAATAACAGCTTGTAGAGAAGAGACACTGAAAACAAACCAACTTGGATTCCACTACTGCTGACTTTTGAATATTTGATATATGCTATTGGTAGTTCTTCTAATCAAGTAGTCACAGAGATTCTTTTATCTAAATGTTCAGAGGACAGGCATTGGTGAAGGGGAGGAGCACCGAATCTTTCCAAAGTCAATAGTTTTCAAGCCAAGAGATGAACTAATATATTTTGCTTTCAATTTTTTAACCTAACCATTTATTCTTGAATGCTAAAAGAACTTTGTGTTAAAACTGTCTTGTCATGAGTACAGCCATGTTTGTCCGCTCCATTGACCTACAGCCACCAGCACAAAAAGAAATATAAAAGTTGCTTTCTGCGTGGTGGGAACTGGCCCTTCTCCCATGGAGATAGTTGCAATGTGTAAAAATTTCAAGGCCCTTTGGGTGCCGCAGCCTGGGACGGACTGGCCATCTGTGCTGGGCTGGGACGATAACCAGGGTAAACAATGCACGTACACAACTACTGGGCTGGGACGATAGCCACGGGGCTCAGTGCATGCATGCCACTGATAACCATTTGTGCATGGGAACACTAGATGCTTGCTCGGAAAAAGCTCTGTAACTGCTTACTCTGGGAATTATTGATGCTATAAAAAAACTGCTGGAGACTGACCTGATGAGAATTCCACCTGTGGAAGGGACACCTTGCCCAGGACGTGTGATTCCCGCCCAGCTGTGTCGATTGACAGGACTCTCCCAGCAGTGGGGCGTGGATGTTGTGAGTAACTGATTTATTGTGAAGTAATTGATCTGACGTGTTCTCTTTTCGGTCAACCTGGTGTTTCTCTTTCTGGTTGATTTGTGTCATTTCCCTTCAGTCGATCTGGTGTTTCCCTTTCTGATCAATCTGATGTTTTTCCCTCTTATTATATGACCTATTCGAATCTGCCGCTATCTCAGCCGATCTAGTGTTTCCCTTTCCGATCAAGCTGCTGTTTTTGCCTCTTATCATTTGACCTATTTGGATCTGTTTGTGGACTATCACCTTTACTATCCTCTACATAATAAAATATACCTTCAGTCCATTTGTTTGGAGTGGAAAGTTTCTTTTACATCTCCGATCGAATCCCCAAACCTCTCACAACAAAAACATAGTGGAAAAATGGTAAAGTGTGACATTTTCAGTGGTTTACTTTGTTTTATAGGTCACCAATTTTTAGAGTACTGTCATCTCTTTGTCTAAACAGTCTACATTTATTTTAACAATTCTACAACTCAACTTGCCGTTGCCGTTGGAAATGTATTAATTTATTGTAACCAATGTATGGTATTAGTCAATAGTGAACTACCAGTTTTTGCCATTTTGAGCTAGCCTGGGCCATTGGGGAGGGGATAAAATTTGGCTTTAGTTTTTACAATGCAGTGAACCCCATTGACTCCCACCCAAATCGCTTTCTTCCTCAATTACCTAGAAAAGAAACTAGAGTCTGTCCCCATGCCTCACCACCCATGCATCCTCTAATTCCCATCCTCCGTGGAGTCTACAATCCTAAATATCTCTTAAATCTGTCAACTCCTTTCCATTCCCACAAGCTCTGCTCTCTCGTGGATTACTTTTCTGCTTTTACAAAACCTCAGAATTTTGCTCAGTGAAACTTTTGACTGAATATGAAGCAGCTGGAGCAGAAGCCTCCTGAATTCAGCACCAGAATCAAATGTGAAGAAACTTCTTTTCGTGTCATTGAGCGTTCAGGTCCCAAACTCTGTTCTGTCGTCCATATCAGCCATAGATTGGCTATGCATTTTCCACAGTGGGGAGGGAGTGTTTAAAACTTTTGTATAGAAAAGCACTTTCACACATTTTTACTGGACATGATAAAATACACAGCATTAAGTATTTAAGGCAAATAAAATAGAGACTTACGGGCAAAATTGCTGGCATCACCGGTGTTTAGATAAAATACCTGGCCCTCTGCACTTGTTCTCCCAGGAAATTTATCAGCATAATGCCCCATCTGTGGGCAGCCTTCACTTGGACAGGGGAAGCACTTGTTCTACAGAAAATAAACAAATGATGATGGAAGATGCTCTTTCTTTTAATAGTGCACCATATTTTTTCACATCTTGCTGCAATTCAAATATTCTAAAGCCAATTCGGTTCTGATGGTAAAAGGGGACTTTAATAGTGTCTCGGCAAAGGTTAAAAATGCATCTCATGGGCCCTCCCAGTGGGCTAAGTTTGGGCGCTCTGCTGCGGCAGCCCTGGGTTCGTGGGTTCGAAACCAGGGCGTGGACCGATGCATTGCTCACCAGGCCATGTGTGGCAGCGTCCCATACACAAAATAGAGGAAAATGGGCACAGATGTTAGCTCAGAGCCAATCTTCCTCGCATACACAAAAGAAATCTCATTATTTGCAATGATAAATCAGCAATTTCTGTTAAATAACACAAGACTACGAAAAATATTATAAAAATCACACCAGAATTTATAATATATTTATATGTGTATTTTCATCTTTTCTGTTTTGCCTCTCTTAAGTTGCCCCAGTTGGCCCAAGACATTCATCTACCTGCAGGTGACTAGAATTTATTTTAGAAAGATTGCAAAAGAAAGAACAGGAGATGATAATCAGCTTCTGATATGCAAAATAGGACCCATTAGGAGGACAATAGGCTCAAAAGCCAGGCTTTTCTCAATTCCTTTAGCTCCCACTTAGAATACCAAGTTCTGAAGGATTCGGATCTCAGAATTCTCCCAGTGTGGAGGGAAATGCCCCAGTTGGCCAGTAAGGCTTAGCTATGATGTTGGGGTCTGGAGAAGATTGATGACATATAGGAAAATGTTCTCTCTTTCTGGGCCAAGGAACTGTAGGAAGAAGGAAGGGAGAGGGAGGAATAGAGTGGTAAGGACAAACATCACAATTCCCACTATGGAGGGGCAAGGTTGTTCCACAGTAGAGGCAAGTGGTGGGCTCCTGGATCAAGGGACCAAATGGGGATTGGGCCGAGTCTCAGGGTCTGCACCCAGCAAAAGCTAAGGGGTGACTGAACCAGCCAGGAAGAAACAGCCAAAGCTCTCTGAGGGCATTGCCTGAGGCAGAAGAGTGGACATGCCCAGACAGCACCTACAGACACCTGCCTTGCACCCATCCATCAGGCGGACCCCAAAGTCCTCCCCTCTGCCCCACACACACACTGACCACCATCACCGGGATCATCCCGCCCAACACCAGCTTGGAGAGAAAGGCTGAGAAATCTGCAAAACTGAACACTTTTTCTCCTAAAAGTATCTGAGCATCACCTAAAAGGACTGTTTATATTAGTGAATCAGATCAAGTTTTAATTGAATGAAACCTAAAGCATCTTTGTTCGTTTTCCCCGTTACCTAGAGAACAGAGATTTGGAAAGAAGATAAAAATGAAGTCAGACGAAAAAAAGGGGGGTGTGCTTGTTGTATATGCAAGTTGTACTGTGAATAAAATATATACCCCTCCTCCTACACACACATAATAGCCAACACTTGTTGAATGCTAAATATGATATTTTAGGTTTTGGCTAAGCGATCAAAACATGTCATCTCATTAAATCCTCCCATATAATCCTTGGAGTCTACCATTATTATTTACGTTTAGAAATGAAGAAATTGGCTTAGAGAAGTTTAGTATTTTGCCCCAAATCATTCAGCTATTTAACCGTGAACCGAGGATTTGGATCCTCTCTCGTCATCACTAACGTATACCTCCTGGGTAATTATGACTTCACCTGGCACAACCTCATAATTTGAAATCTTACTTATTAAATGACATAGGTTATACATTTTTATTTTGAAAAAAATATAGTGAACGGAAAAGCAATTAAAAAAACCCAATAGGTTATAGATATATCATATTTAAGATCACACGTAAGGATCCTAACCTAGATGTTTAGAAAATATCAAACAAGATGAAAACTAAAAAAAAAAATCTTGGTAATTATAGGATTGCACAGAAATATCCACATGCCCATAATTAAATAGTTTTAAAAGGTCATCTTTTAAGACAAGTGTTCCATATTCATCAACATCCTGTAGCCATAGCTCAGACATCCATAGACTATTTTTTTACTTAGAACTATTTCAAAATAAGTTTGAATATTTACCTGCTACTGGCAGAAGTGTTAGAGAACAAGGTAGACTAGGGAGATTTCAGTTTATAAGCCCATTTTCTAAAGTTCTCTAAAACCTTATCACTATTAGAATAATATGTATAATTGAGAGTATAAAGAATGTGGCAGTCATACAGTAACATTCACTGAATGCATGTCATGTACAGAGAGCCACACCAGTCATGAGAAGTGATGGTAACAAAGGTCTTTAGGTACAAGGTGGAGTCTACTTACTGCAGTGAAATCACTGTAAGAGGCACAAGAGAATCCAGCAAAGCCACTAGGATTGAGGATACTATCATTGTAATACTTGTAGCTTCTTAAGTGATTACAGGCCACATATGCAACAGTTCCTTTGAAATAAGACATAATTACACATCAGTGACAGATTTTATTTTTCAAAGTTAACGTCATGATCAGTATATACTTGCTGAATAGATTTCTCTAATTAGTGTGAACTAATGGAGATCGCAGAACAAAATCATTTCTGAAGTGAATTTATGATCCGTGATACAATTAGAAGTCAAATACTGTTTAAGATTATAATAGTTTTGCCATAGCTAAATGAAATGAAAAAATAACTGTAGAAGGAAAAGATTGGTTCATACGATATAATTTAGTAAGGCCTTCCCTGAATTAGATCCTTGAAAAATTGACTACCAATACATATTCTTTCCCACAATCTCCTCATGCCCACTTCTCAAAGTGAAAATCTTGGGGATACAGTTAAAAGTCATTTGTTTAGAAAATGTGAGACCTATACAATACCAAAATATGTAGCAGGTTTAGCAAAATAAAAGACAAACTTTCCCCCAAGAAAATCTCTTCAAGCACATAATGGTTTTACCGTCCCAGATCCCCCCTACGTCAACAATCTGAGAGAGAATGTTCTTCTGACATCCAGGCATTTCTTCTCCTCCATTTGGAAAGAAATCTAGGTGGCCCACAATTTGGCTCATTCCAAACCCTGAAAATTTTAAAATATGGGAAAGTTGATGTTAACGTGTAGACTTGAAACACTCTAAAACACTCTTATGTATGGACTCAAAAAACACTCTAGAAGAACGAATTCAGGAACTCACCCAAGTTGGGGATCATGGGGGCAGCGTCTGTGTGAATTACATCCACAAATTGGGCATCGCTGGGGTCCAATCGGACTAATTCAGGTGTGCTCTGAAAGCAAGGTTCAGCTGGATCCAATCCTAAAGTAAATAGGATGTGTCATGTTAATATCGATCAGTGTACCTGCACATTCATCTTTGTTAGTTACAGACCTGAACGCGAGCTTTAGCAGTAATCACGAATTATGCAAGAGAAAGACAAGATAGTTCTTCCCTACCTTACCATTTTCTGAAGGGAAATCTGTTTCTAATTTACTATTTGCATTGATGTGAATTTTCCTCAAACCATGAAATTGCACTCTATTTATGGATGCTCAGTCACCAGGACAATCACAATCACTAGCAGTAGTTACAAGGAAAGAGCCAGACTCTGGGAGACACTGGACTCCTAAAAGCTGTTCAGGCTAAAAGAGTTCCCGGTGGAGTGTAAACTCCCTGGAGAGCAAGGACCTTGGCTCTCATGGTCACCAGGACCACAGCTTCGCACAGTGCCTGGCTGAGCAGGCTCTCATAAACATTTTCGGACTGTGGGAAAGAAGGTTCTCTCCAGCAAATTAACGCTAGGCCTTCCAGATGCCCTTACCAACCCAAATGTAACCAACTTATCCAAAGCATTAAAAAGAGAATGAGGTGGTCGGAGACTGAATGGGAAGATGGAAGAGGAAAGTGGTCATTCTTTGAAATAGTCACCTCTCAGATCCAGGATAGCAAAGTATTTCTTATAAAGTTACAGGGTTGTTTTAGGACCTGGTATCCAACATGAGAACCCCATTGGCCAAATGCAACCAGACTGAAGTCTGTAAAATAATTTTTTTTTTTTTTTTGAGGAAGATCAGCCCTGAGCTAACATCCGACGCCAATCCTCCTCTTTTTTGCTGAGGAAGATTGGCCCTGGGCTAACATCCTTGCCCATCTTCCTCTACTTTATATGGGACGCCACCACAGCATGGCTTGACAAGCGGTGCATTGGTGCATGCTTGGGATCCGAACCTGCAAACCCCGGGCCACCACAGCGGAGCGCGCATTTAACCGCTGGGCCACCGGGCCGGCACCAATAATATTTTTTATCTAATTATTAGCATGCAGAACTGGCAGCCCAGGGCAGCGTGGCCATTGGCCCCCCACCCCCAACTCTTGGATTGTGGTTGATGAGGTTTGGGCTAATTATCAATTGCTATTGAAGCAGAATATAATTAATTATATATTTTTGAGCTCTTTGGGTTTAATTCTACCTATTATTTATTCTGTTATTTATGGTATTTATTCTATTCTTGAAACTTGTTCTATGTGAATGCCTGACAAAGAGAAATAGGTAGATATGAATAAGGCCTCCAGATGTTCTCAATTCACATTTTAGTCACATGCAATATTTATACATTAAACAGGGCTCGGCAGACCAAAGACTGATATCAACCAAAAATTTACAAGGCCTCAGGACACACTGATTTCTGATCATGTGGCCCAATTAGGAAGTTGTGAAAACCTGTCTCCTCAGGTAAAATACAGGGCTGCACCAAATTTTCATCCTTTTAAATACCTATTGGCTACAGTTAGTCCAATTTTGCTGCTTTTACTGTTTTAACCAACCTGTGATCCGTCCAATGGCTCCACTGGTTGTCCTTCCAGCCTCCCCTGCAACGTGAGCACCCAGGCTATGGCCAATGACATGGACGTTGGAAGGTGAGTAGCTTAATGACGACTGTCGGGAAGAAAAGTTCTTCAGAATGTTTTCAAATATTGCAAAATTCAAGATGGGCACAGATGCGGAATCGCAGAAAACTTGAGTTTTAAGATTTACTGCCCCCTTCAAAGCAATTGATTTTCATGGATACTTTTTTCCCACAGTTATATTAGAAAATAGCAATGAGTTTAACATTTAAACTGGTGGAAGTAGAGCTCTCTTTGGGTGTGTTACTATGTAGCGAGAACCGTGGATGGATATGAGAAATTGTTACCCAGAGATGAGGAAGCAAATATTTGGATGAGAAAATAATAATGGAAGCAATTACTCAAGCACATTCAAGTTGAACATTTTCTGTGTTTTTAGTTACCATAATAGATTAACTTGTTCTCACTGTGCTTCTCTTAAAAAGAAAACAAAAACAAATAACTAATTTAACCTTAAGGTTGGCATTATCATGTCAAATTGATTTAATAACTCATAAAATTAAAAGACATACTGGGAGAATTCAGTAGGAACAACCTACCTGCTTGCTTCAATAATACCACTTAAAAAAAAAACTAGTTTATTGATCTAAAATATACTTATTGGTAAAGCTTAATTTTATACTTTTTTTGCGTTTTTCATTTCAAACACGTGGACAGCCGCATCTCAGTAGAGAACTGTCTTGACCAGTGATCATACCTACAACGTTATTTATTTACTTTTTTTGGAAGAGAATACAGAGAGCAATGTGCTTGGGCTTTTATTCAACCCGGAAGTAGTTACCCGAAGAACTCCAACAAGATATGCCACTTCCGCCCCCACAATCCGGACGTTCTCTGTGGCCTGTGTGTATCCGGTGTCAGCGCCAGTCGACCAGTCCACACAGATACAGTTCACACTTTCCACCTTCAACAGGTTCTGGTGGCAGAGACACAATAAATAGGTAAATAATTCAGGATCTTTATGAATTACTAATGAACACATTTGAGGACTACAATTCCCTCCTTGACCTATACAGAATCTTGCTTGCTTTTAAGCCCAAAGCAATGAACAAAATTTCTAGTTTGTTATGCATATGGAATCCCTTTTAAAGTTTAATGTTGGCTCCAAATTGGAGATTTGGCCATAGTGGGAACTAGATTCTTGGGATTTCTACTGCAACAGATACCTAGACATTTGTTTCAGGGAAAAAATGTATAAAATGTGGTGCAAAGGGTTGTCTCATTAGAGCATCGCAAATGTCATGAGAGTACATTGCCCTTACTAGAAAGCGCCCCAGGACATTGCCTGTCTTGCTCACTACTGTATCCTCAGTGCCTCGAACAGTTCCTGACACACAGTAGGTACTCGATGACTATTTACTGAATGAATGAATAACTGAATAAATGAAAGACTATGTTTGGGCCCCTTAAATAAATATGTTGAAGGTAGGTGAGTAAGCTTTTCCATGATGGAAACCCTAATCAAAGTTTTTGGATGAACGTATTATTGTACATTACAGATGAGTTATTTCACATAAAAGCATAACCTACCAGATATCCACTAGAGGTCTTGTTTGATGAGGGTCAATGATAGTTTCCTGAATGTTAGATCTGGCAGGAATTTTGTTTGTTTGAGTGTGTGTTTATACATATCCCCACTTTTTTTCCAAAAAGAATTTGAGAAGAATGAAGCAATCTTAGAAATCATCTCCAACTCTTCCATTTTACAGATAGAAAAATCCAAAGACAGGAAACTATTTGCTAATGTTGTGGTTAGCTAAGGAGAGAGTCTGAACTGGAATTGAGGACCTTTAACCTAGTTTAACCCACTCATTTCTCCAACATAACGCAACAAGATTGTCAAAGACCAAGCAAATGCAAGAGAAACACATCTGCTTTTGGAATCTCAGAAACAAATTGTATATACATATCTAAAGAAATTGTATATACAAACCATATATACATACACATTCCTTTTGAGCTAAGAATCACTTTTTTTTTCCTTCACTGTTGTATAGAAATCTATTACTAACCTCCCTCCAATAAGCATCAGCTTTAAATTGTTTTAGAAGACAAGTTATGGTTTTACTGATGATTTCCAAACTTAGCTGTCCATTTTGGCCATCTTCAGGATCAGTGGATGCTCTCTGGAGTTGACTCAATTCAGCCTTTGTTTTGAGTCATAGACAGGTCTGAAACTGAATGGATGTAGGAGGACCTTTTGTGTCCTTTCTCTTGAGACCTCTGAAGAAATGACTGCACCTTTGTGCCACAGCTGCCCACAGAAGCTGATGAACACATGAATCAACGATAATGCTCCTCAAGCACTAGCACTTCCTAGGAAAATTTGTTCTTTTTGATTTTCTGTCTTTTAAATCTTCATTATCACAGGGCACATAGCCAATAGGATCCCTACTGTTGAAACAACAGAAGCCAGAAATGAAAACCTATGTAGTTTCCCTAGATGTTGCTACTGCGGGAGATCAAAGAGTAGCAAGTGAAAATCAAAGGAAAATACTTAGTTTGGGCAAAATGAATTATCTTAGCTCTTCACATGGGAATTAAAAGCTACTGAAAAAGTTGAAAACTATTGACAATGCAACTAATGCTGCATCAGTACAGCAACATCTGTGGCTAAATTTTGAAATAGCTCTATATTAATTATTACAGAACCACTACCCAGAGCCACCAAATGCCTACCAACCTTGCTGCCCTGACTGCCCCAGGTCCCGTCCACACCCTACCACTCCCTGGACCTCCCTTGGGGACCCCAGGCCCAGCAGGGTCAGAGGATCCTCCAGTGTCACGGTGGCGCATATTTGTCCTGATCGGTTGGGGCCTGTGCCTTCCCTGTTGTTAATTATTACTCTGGAAACATCCTCTCCTTAAGAGATTACCACGTCTCACCTGGCATATTTCGGATGGCCAGCTTTCTTCTCCACTATCCCTGAATCCGTGAATAATAAAGCGGGTTTTTCTACTTGTTTTGAAATGGGAGCTCTTGATAGTTGATGCATCTGCAGTAATTTCCTATTTTGAGAAGAAAAGTGTTTAATGTAAGTTTCTGATAGTATCCAATAGAACCGTTTGTACATGGAGGGAGGTGGTAGGTAGGAGAAGACTACCAGGGTTCCAGATCCTGGTGAGTAAGGATTCCATTACAACCAGGCTCTTTTCAATCATCACCAAGTTGCTGCTTTCCAACCATCATAACATTTTGCAGTTGTCAACTTGGGATAGTATGCCTGCTAGATTACTGGTGGTAGGGGTCTTGTCTCCACACAATGGAAGGGTTCGTTGTGTGTGTGTGTGTATGTGTGTGTTATATACATATATATATATATGTATATTATGTTGGGAGATTCCATATAATATTGGGATATTTTATATATATGTGCATATATATTTCTTATATATATTATATATGTATTTATATTATATATATATATTCATATTTAGAATATTTATTAAATGGTACCATAAAGGTAGGGTAAGAATAATATCAAGTTAATGGACCTCTTATAAACAAGTTACATAAAATAACACGTAAGCCCACTGCCCTAAAAGTCTACAAAAATGCAAGTTCCCCTGTCTGACTTGTTCTCATTAGAAGACTTAAAATTCAATATCTTTACCACCTAAAACAGATAGTGCTTAGTTTTGAAAAAGAGGAGCACTCTTACTTGAAAGCTGTTTGGGTTCTCATTAGTGTACAGGAGGAAGCGGGTGTTGACCTCTTCTGGAGACCAGGGCAATGTTTTGAAGGGTCTTTGCAAAGTTCCTCCCCATGGGGACTCATTGCTGAAGCAGCCAAGTCTCTCAAAGCAAACTTCGCTTCCTGCAATCACCCAGAGGTGTTTCAAGGATATGAGTTTTACCAGAATGCTCTTTTTAATGGTTTCTCTGCCAAAATATGAGTTAAATTACATCTTGTGGCATATTTTCTTCCTCCATATCCCCAAACATCTCCCTAGTTACACACTCACAAAATATCTTCAATAGACAACATCTCTGCTGAAGAAACCACTGCTCCTCATTTCCACCATGTAAGATGCCTCACTCCTCTTGTGTTTGTGTCCAGTCCCATACTGGGGTCTACTTTTGCCTCTCAACTCAGATGTCTTCCCTGGGCCATTGATGCCCAAGGAAGGAGCAGCCTTGTATCCCCAGGCCTTGGTAGAAGAAGGGTGAGCTCTCAACTCTTTGTAGCCATCTTCTGGCTTTGAGCTTTAGGTGGAGAGCATAAGTTTCATACAAATGTCAAAACTTTATACCTCCACATGGCTGAATATTTAGGTCTCTGACCTACATTTGAGGGGCATCCTGGATTCCTGTGATGAAGAAGGTACTCTCAAGTAATCAAAGAGAAAAGCCATGGTTTGACACAACTCCAGGTTTGAATGTTACCCCACAAAAGAACAACACAGAGAAAGGGTTCTTGGGGAAGAGAAAGTCTAGTAGGAGTGGAAGCAGTAGCTGTGTCGTGTGGCTGCGTTCCCAAAATCTTACTGTGTGCCAGGTGCTGGGCAAGATGATTGACATGGCGAATCTTATCTAAGTCTCACAATTATCCTAGGAGAGGGGTGGTATTATATGCCCATTTCACAGATAAAGATAATGAAGCAGAGAGAGGTTAAGAATTTTGCTCACGTAATGCAATTGTGGCTGATGGAACCAGGGTTCAAAGCCCAGACTTGACTCCAACCTAGGGTTGCTAGATTTAGCAAATAAAAATACAAGCTAAATTTGAGTTTCAGGTAAACAATGAATATTTTTTAGTATAAATATGTCACATATTCGTTGTTTATGTGAAATTCAAATTTAACTGGTCTTAGCTTTTATCGTCTTTCTCGCTGTACTCCTTATCCTCATAGTGGCTTGAATTCAGCCATCATAATCCTTCTTGAAAGTATTCAGCAGTGAATCTCTTTCAGCACTACATAAATATTTTGCCTTACCTACTACCGCTCCCAGCAACAGCGAAAGTGTCCAGATTAGCAGCATCTAAAGAAAGTTAAAAATATGATTGAGTCTGGCTACATCAATTTTTAAAAGATTGGCCTAATTCAAGTTAAGTTCGATCTCTGGGGGAAAATAGGCAAATTCTGATAAATTAGGCTTGGAAAACATGTTCCTGACTTACCGTGGCAGTTCTGTCAGGTTCTGTGCACAACCAGATAGCACTGAAAGGTCCTTTTATAGGCAAACCTTATCTTTTTTGAACAGTTCTATGGAAAAGTGACATGAAACAAGAGGAGGTTCCAAGGATATGTTTCTAATTTTAATCATAAATAAACGAAGATTATTAGAGGAGGTAAAATTTTCCACAGTACTCGTGGGAAGATGAGAAAAGGATAGGTATAAACAGTTCTCTTCCAGTGTGATTATACAATGCTCAGAATCACCATAATTTCACTGTAGAGAAGGTTCTAGTCTGCCCCCTTTTTAATTTACAACTCTCTGTGCAGGTCTGTGGGCATGTGTGAAAGCAAATTGTTTTCACAGATTTGATAGCAGCAGTCTTGGAAACAAATACTAAAAACTTACCAGCTCATGCAGTTTTTGTATAACCTTGCCTTACCCTCAAAAAAAATGAAATAGGGGCAATTTTTCAAGAGAGTTCATTCCTTTTTGGAAAGCAGTTGATATTTTATTTTGATAGTCCATAGAACTAACTTATTTCTCAACAATAACATGGAGAAAAGAATAAACAAACTGACAAGTGGAAATGGGGTACTTCTAAGATCATAGAGGTGGAATCAGTGACTGCACCATCAGATGAAATTATGAATAAGAGAGAAACATAAAATTCAACGTGGAAAAAATGGTTTGGGAACAAAGAATACGAAAGAGAAGTATTTGATAGAAAAGAACTGCAATGTTTTCAGTTGGTGATAGATTGCTTAAAATAAATTTTTAAGACTGTAACGGGATACTATAATTTTAAGAAACTGGGGCCATTTAGCCTGACAGTGTCACAGATATAGGTTGAATCATATGAAATTACCACATTCGTAGGTCAGAAATGGTCAAGAAATAATTCAGCCTCATGACAAAGTTTATAGGTACAGAAAAAAGCAATAAAATTATTTATGAGGAAAGTTCCAGAAAGTTTGGCAAAGGAAATGTTAACATCAGGACAGAAGGCACAAGGAAGGAATTCCATGGATGGGAGCCATGGCACATTCCCACTGAACCTTTCATATCTCAGCATTTAATCTTCTCCTTAGGGAATCTTCTCCAGCCATGATTAAGTTGGTTCTGCTCTCCCCTCAAGAACACCTCCTCTCAGAACTTCCTTCATTTGACACGTATCACAATCAATTGTGGATCATAAACTCAGAGAAGGCTGGAATTCTCTGGGCCTAGTTGTCACACCTCAGCATCCAACCCTGTCGGTTTATAGCAAGCCCTTAACACATCCTTGTTGAATGAATGAACAAACAAATGAGGGAATGTATATGAATAGCAATTTTTTTTGTCATAATTGCTACGGTAACAACTGCCTACCCAATCTCACCACAAAGAGCTGTGATTTTTTGAAGCCTCTTTTACTCAAAACAAACAAACAAACCCAAGAAAAAAGAGAGCCAATGTTCACTCTGGGGTTTACCATGAAGCAAAATACATTTTGTGTGAATTATTTGTTATTCTAAGTTGGCATTTTAGATGGTACAAAATTTAATCCATAATTAGGGAGACTTTTATTCAATATAGGCTGTAAAATTAGGACAAAAGTCGACAAATTCTGAAACAGAGACTAGAGTCCATAGGAAATTGTTTTATAAATGAAAATAAGTTCAAATTTTAGAATGTTTAGGGAAGATTCAATTTCCGCAACTGTTATGAAAGCTAAGAAAGGAATTGTACATAATCAGCAGTTTATCGTGTCAGCTCTGGATGAATGACTTCCCCTAAATTAAATCTTGCTGAACCCTTTAGCTGGGTTGTAAAATTTCATGAACCATATTGTTTCATTCAGACCATTAATGTGCTGTCTTTGAGTGTCTGTTTACAGAGAATGAAGCAGAGACTGTTGGCCTCTTTCTACAGGGACCAGAACTAGACTCTATTCCCCAACCTCCCTTGCGAGGCGGTGGGCCACATAGTCAACTTCCTGCAAATGAGACGTGAGCGCCCAGATGTGCACCAGTTCCAGTCCTCCTCATAAAAACCCACACACAATCCTCCACATGCCTCCCCTTCCATGGCTTGACGCAGACAACTACAGCAACCTTGCAGGCCGTGTGTTGAAGCTGGCGGAGCCACAAGATGGAAGGAGCCTGGGTTCCCTGGTGAGCGGAAAGCAGTCCATCAATCACAAACATCCATTTTAGACTTTACGTGAGTAAGAAATAAATTCCTATTGTTTTAAGCCACTGCTATTTCAGAGTTATAACAACGAGCATTACCTTAACCCACAGAGATTATTTTATTGTGCAATTATTTCTCCAAATTCCAAGAATAGTTCAGATCCCAAATGTCGAATCTTGGGCTATAAATTTCACCATGACATTTGGACGGTGCTTAGCCATAACATTAATACTTGGACAGATTCTTTTCTAATTCTTAGTTTTAAAAAAATTCCCTTCCTGCTACTTCCTGATTTATAAAGGAATTTCTCAATTCTTCACCTCCACTTTTAATTTTAATGGGCGTTTTTCAGTCCAGTACCTGATGGTGACCATTGATTCACGAGCAATCTGAGGCCATATAATACCCCAGGTGTTAGTGAAAATTTATCCAATGTTGCCTGGCCCCCCAGATGCTATGCGTATGTAGATGGAGCAACTCAGTGTGCTGGATGCATAGGGAATTCTCAAATACCACAGCTAGGTGGATTGGAGCTACCACTAAAACTCTGCCCTCCACTAGCCGTTGTTACTCCTCACATTTAGGGATTGCAGGCTAGACGGTGGACCCTGTAAAGGGTGATGGGGCCATGGCAGCCCTGCCCCAGGGACCTCCTGGCATTGAAAGTGGGCTCACATTGAAAAATAATTTCCTGTCTCCTGGATACAGCAGAGAACTACATAACAATGACTCAGCCTTGACTCTGACACTTTAGACATTTAAAAACAAAAAAAGAAGCCAGATCTGGAGGTTTCTAATCCTGTAGCTATGTATGCAGAGGAGTTAAATATTGATGTAAGTTTAGGCTCTGATCTGGCAGCCTTGAATTTGGTATCAGCAGCGATACTAAACTCCAGGTGAAAGAAAGAACTCCAGGTGAGGGACACCTGTGTGGCCAAATAACCTGCATGTTAGCCAAACAGGGTCTCATTTACTTAACCTTCAGAGAGCCTGTCCTGTCCTCCCGTATCCAGTTCAGCCTACTGCCAAGGCTATCAATGGGAGGGAGAACATGCTCACCTGAGGATGCCAGACTTCCCTGAGTAGAAGACTGGGATGATCTGGGAGTTGTTGTTGCCTCACACCTTCCAGAACAACCATCCTGCCAAATATGAGGGAATTGAGTTCACCCAGACCCAAGGAGTGAAATTATAGTCAACCCCTTCCACTATGCATGAAATTGGTTTACTTTGTCATATAGAATAACAAGCATACCTAAAATTTTATAGCATTAATTATTTTGTTTTACATACTTTTTAAGTTTTTGCATTTAATCTCCTACAGAACCTATGGAAGCTTTAGCTGTTTTTCTTATGAAGGTAGTGAGATTCAGATTTTAAGCAACTTGCCCAGGGACGTGTAGTAGAGCCAGGTCTGGAGGGACAAACTCTTCAAACCAGCCCCAGATGACAACCTATTAGAAGGCCATGAGCTCCCAGGCTTAATCTAGAGCTGACCTAAGAAATGATCAAGAAAGGAAACAGCTGGAGATGTTAATATGTGTGTGTATACAAGTCTGTAAGACTTGGGATCTTCTTTCCAAAACAAAGTCACACACACATTTTTTGGATAACCTATTGTTTTGTTTCCTTTGTATTTTGCTTCCCTACTACCAATACAGCAAATGGAAATTTTATCAAATAGAAATACAACTTTTGTGACATTGAATATGATAATCATTTCTCTCCTGGGCCATCACAGTAGTCTTCTGATTGCTTTCCTTGCCCTCAGACTAGCCCCTCTCTTGTGTGTCCTCTACACACTGCCAGACAGTCAGTTTTAAAATGCAGACTGGCCACGCTATTGCCCTTCTTAAAACCACAGCCCCTTCCCCTGCCCTCTGCTTTCTACATCAGTACTGCCCAATAGGAATATAATGCTAGCCACACTTTAAAAAGTAAAAAGAAATATGTGAAATATATTTTAATAATTCATTTAATCTAATATATCCAAAATAATATCATTTCAACATGTGACACTAGTCACATTTCAAATGGTCAACAGTCACATGTGGCTGGTGCCTATCATATTGGACAGCACAAATGGAGATCAAATTTACTCTACCTAAAATCACAAATAAGACTTTGCAGATCTGGTTGACTTCTCTGAGGTTTTTAACCTTGTTGCATATCTACTTGGGCTATTTTCAAACTACTCTGATCTCCTTTCAAAAATATAAACTCTCAAGGAGTTTGAATGGGAGCCAACTCTAGGGTCCTTAAGGAATAGAAGAACAAGATTTTCCAAATGCCATTGAAGGGGAAGAGAGAGCAAATAGGTAGAGATGCAGAATTCAACAGGCCCAGAGACGACAGCTTAGATACTGGGAGTGTGATGAAAGGGGAAAAAAAGAAAGAGCAAGCAAAAGGAAAAACAAACAAACAAAAGACTAACTAGTAATATGTAACCAAAAAATACTTTTTTTGTTCCATACCTAAGATGTTTTGGGTATCAAACAATTAGAAATGATTTGTGGATCCTCACAGAGGGGCAGGCCAATCCAGAGGTTGTCACACCATGTGCCTTTTGCAACCAACCGTGTAAGGCAAGTTGCAAAGTCCATTTAAAAAATTATAAGCTGTGGGACTTTTACTTTTAGCCATGATGGAGCAACTGGTGTCAGACTTGCCCTTTTACCAAAATAATTAAAAGAATGGACAAAATACATGAAGCAATGAGTTTCTTTTTTGTGAGGAAGATCAGCCCTGAGCTAACATCCCTGCCAATCCTCCTCGTTTTGCTGAGGAAGACTGGCCCTGAGCTAACATCTGTGCCCATCTTCCTCCACTTTATGTGGGACACCACCACAGCATGGCCTGAGAAGCGGTGCGTCGGTGCGCGCCCAGGATCCGAACCTGGGCCGCCAGCAGCGGAGCATGCGCACTTAACCGCTACGCCACAAGGCCAGCCCAGCAATGAGTTTCTGAAACTCGGCAATGGATAGTGCAAGACTGTAATAAATGAAAAAAGGACAACAAGTGAGGTGAGACCTCCAATCACTCCAGCTATATGCCTGGAGGCATTTCCTGGACCCCAGCACAGGAAGGGAGAATCCAAGCAGAGCAGGGCAGACTCATCGAGCTGATGAGATAGAGATCAGAGTTCAGGGAGGCTAAGGTAGTTAGAATGTGCAGAGCAGACCACTGGAGAGAAGGAGGCTACAAAGATGAAGAGTTTCAGAAATTGGCTTAGGGGTCCACTTGAGTCTTTGGAGAAATACTAAGCTCTGCTTGCAAAGAGTAAGATTCCATGGGGCTGGTCACATAAGAGCTATCCGGGAAAGACCCAGGATTGGGAAAATCTATAATCAGAACAACTCCTGCAGCTCACATATGTCTGGGAGATGTTCAGCCCAACGGAATAGAAGATTTCACTGAATGATCAAGGCATTCAGTAGATACTCCCCAAAAGGCCATGCCTTAGGAGGAAGGCTAATATAGCCCTAGAGTAAAGGCTAATCTCAACCTGGTTTAAAAAAACATAAGGACAAACCTCGAAAAGTTGAAACTGATCTGCAAGTAAGTTAACTGCCTATTCCAACCAATCAAAAAAGAATTAAACTTCTATAATTCTCTTTAATAGAAGACAATAACATACTCAGTAATGTAAAATTATTATTGCCCAGCATCTAATCACACAGTATTAGGCATGCAAAGAAGCAGAAAAACACGACTCATCAGTTAATGGAAAGATATCAAGAACTGATAGAGATAATAAAATTTGCAGACAAGGACTTTAAAATAGCTATTATAAATATATTCAAGATTCAAAGGAAAACGTGGACATAATGAAGAAAGAAGTGGAAACTATTAAGCATGGATTTAATAACAGATTACACACTACAGAAGAAAAGACCAAGAAACTGAAGACATGGCAATAGAAACTATCCCAACTAAAGTACACAGAGAAAAAAGGTTGAAAAATTAAATGGAACTCCAGTGACCTGTGGGAAAATACCAAACATTGTAACATACACACAAGTGGATTCCTGGAGCAGGTGTTAAGTAAAATATTTGAAAAAATAATGGCTGAAAATGTCCAATATTGATTTTAAAAATTGAATCCATGTATCCAAGAAGCTCAACAATTCCCAAGCAGGACAAATCCAATGAAAACCACACAAAGGCACATCATAGTAAAATTATTTAAACTCAATAATAAAGAAAAAAATCTTAAAGGCAAATAGAGGGAAAAAAGACACATCATACACAGGGAAAACAAACTTAAGAATGACTGCAGACCTCTCAACAGAAACAAGCAAGCAGACAGTGGAATGGCTTATTTAAAGTACTGAAAGTCATAGACGTAAATGTAAAACCTAAAACCAAAACCTTCTAAGAGAAAACACAGGAAAAAAAATCTTTGCTACCTTGGGGTAGGTAAAGATTTCTCAGGAAATTAAAAGTATTCTATTAAAAAATAGATAAACTGGACTTTGTGAAAATTAAAAACCCTGCTCTTAAAAGAACATCTATATGAGGAAAACTATAAAACTCTGATGAATGAAATCAAAGAAAAACTACAGTGGAGAAATTCCATGTTCATGGATAGGAAGACAGAGTATTGTCAAGATGTCAGTTCTTCCCAATGTGATCTGTTTATTCAACACAATATCAATCAAACTTCCAGCAAGTTATTTTGTGGATATTGACAAACCAATTCTAAAGTATACATGGAGAGGAAAAAGAGCCAGAATAGCCAACACAATACTGAGGCAGAGGAACAAAGCTGAAAGATATTACTCCACTTCAAGACTTACTATAAAGCTACAGTAATCAAGACAGTGCAATCTTGACAAAAGAATATACAACTAGATCAATGAAACAGAATAGAGAGCCCAGGAATTGACCCACATAAATATAGCCAAGTGGATCTTTGATAAAGGAGCAAAGGAAAAACAATGGGCAAAGATCGTCTTCATCAAACGGTGCTGGAACAACTGGACATTCACATGCAAAAAAATGAATCTAAATACACACCTTATACCCTTCGTAAAAATTAACTCAAAAATCACAGACCTAAATGTAAAATGCAAAGCTATAAAACTCCTAGAAGACAACATAGGAGAAAACCTAGATGACTTTGGGTATGGTGATGACTCTTTAGATATGACACCAAAGGCACAATCCATGAAAGAAATAATTGATAAATTGGATTTCGCTAAAATTAAAAACATCTGCTCTGTGAAAGACAATCCCAAAAGAATAAGACGACAAACCACAGACTGGGAAAAATGTTTGCAAAAGACACATCTGATAAAGGACAGTTATCCAAAATACACAAAGAACTCTTAACACTCAACAACAAAAATCAAGCAATGCAAGTAAAAAATGAGCCATTCCCATCATTGCAGAAAGTTCTGTTGGACAGCTCTGCTCTAGAACGACAGTATGATGAGGTAAGGTAAAAACAGAAAGAACAAGGGCTTGTCCCCACATTTGGAAAGGTAGCTCAGGAGTGCAGTACTGAGACCACTCGAGGGCAGGGTCTGTGTCTTGTCTCTGCATCCCTGGGGCCCTGGGCCGTCTCTAGCACCGAGCAGGGCTCAGCTGTCACCCAGATTTATACCTGTAGGGATGTCTCAGTGCCCACGAGCACACACACATATGTGCACGCCAACACACATATAACCACACACTCACATACACATAGACACACACACACCCACTATGCACATGCACATGCATTCACACAAACACACACACACTCAGACACTCACACACGTACACAAATATGTACATAAACACACACACACACATCCTTTGCCCAACTCCTACTCATCCTTCACATCCTCAGAGATGTTGTCCCTGTCCCTCCCTCTGGTCAGGGCCAGGCCCTCTGGCCCACGATGCCACAGCAGCAACCTGCCAAGCCCAGCACACTCAGAGCTGCTGGCAGAGTTTCCATATTCTCTGCCGGATTATAAATTTCATGTGCAGAGTGTCTTGTTCATCCCTCCATCCCCAGTGTCTATCTAGTCTCTGGCCCGTAAATAAATGTTAGTTGAGGAATGAATATATGGTTTTTGAATGTTTCATTTGTTGTAGTTAAAATATGAGCAATTTCATGTGTCACTACGTCAGTGGAAGGATTGATTAACCAATGTCTTTTTTTAAAAACACGGATATAGTGATGAGAATGTTCTATATCTTCATTGTGGAGATGGTTTCACACTATTCATTTATCAAAACTCATAGAACTATACACTAAAAATGGTGAATTTTGCTGTACATAAATTATACCTCAATAAACCTAACTTAAAAAACTGTATAAGAGGGCCGGCCCCATGGCTTAGCGGTTAAGTGCGTGTGCTCCGCTGCTGGCGGCCCCGGGTTCGGATCCTGGGCGCGCACCGACGCACCGCTTCTCTGGCCATGCTGAGGCTGCGTCCCACATACAGCAACTAGAAGAATGTGCAGCTATGACGTAAAACTACTGGGGCTTTGCGGGAAAAAAATAAATAAAATTAAAAAAAAAAACTGTATAAGATATATATTATACTTATGTATTTATACAAACATAGTCTCTTTTTTTACAGTGCAACATCTTAGGGAACTATCATAGGGCACGTTGGCACAAAGTGCCCCAAGCATGCCATGTCTTTACCCAATGTCCCAGCCTTTCAGCAGATTTTTGAGAGAAATCACCCCTTCCTGATTCCCACCCACCCAAGAGGCAGCGCCTGGGCATCAGGTTCACATGGACAATGTGGGGGAAATGGAGAGACTGGAGCTGGACTTCTTAAGGGGCCCAGCTTAGCTAAGAGCTGGTACCAAATAAATGTTTGCTGAATGAATAGAAGAGCAGGTACATATGACACAGTCTTAAACATGAAAAGAACAATGCACTGTGGAGTGGTAAAAATTCAAGTTAGGTAGCCACAGAGACATGTAAATTGCTGTTGTCCCATTGGTTATACTATTTGCTTGCACTGATTTCACGCCATAGAAATAAAATGGAAGAAATGCAGACTCTTTCTAAATCCTCAATTGAGTCTTAAATGGGATAGTTTGGGTGGATGTGTCCTTTTTCTAAGAAATCAGAATGTGCCCATAAATATTTCAGGTTAGAGAAAAGCCCTTCATTTACGACAAAAACTAAACTTTGTTTTCGTGGGTGGGAAAGTCAAAGTGCAACTTACAGGCAAAACTGCTGGAATCTCCTGTGTTCAGGAAGAATTTCTGCTGCTCCTCACTTGTCTTGCTGGCAAATTGATCAGCATAGTGGCCCATCTGCGGGCACCCTGCATCTGGACAGGGGAAGCACTTGTTCTAATGAGAAGAGAGAGATCGGGCTATAGGGTGTGAATTCATCTTTTTATGATCCATCCACCTGGGGGAGCAATTTTCCTACAGTCTGCTTCCCCATTTGTAACAGGAAGGGGCTTGGAACAGATAATGTGTAAATTACCTTCAACCAGGACAGGGTTCCAAGCCTGATACAGACCACATTAGAACTACTTGGAAAGCTTTAAAAAATACTAACACCTGGACTCCAGGTTAGAGTAATGATACCTTCCATGGAGTGATGTGCTGGTGACTGATTAACAGCCAACTCTGGGACAAAAAGCCCTTATTGTAGTGTTTACCAATTTCTGTGGTGTAACTATTCCGACTGTGGCCAATTTCAGGCTGCCAACATGATGTCACTGAATATGGAGTTGGGAAGAGAAGTTCACAGAGCCAGAATAGGCAGGCTGTGGCATATCATTGCCTCCATCTCTCCCCTTGCTGCCAGCTGCATAAGGACAAACTCCCAGCCTGGTATCCAGAACCCCAGCATCCACCTTTCATTCTCTCTGGTGTGTGAAATCTTCTCACATATTCTTTTTATTATTATTATTATTTTTTTAGGAAGACTGGCCCTGAGCTAACATCTGTTGCCAATCTTCCTCTTTTCTTTTTTTTTTTTTTTTTTTTTTTTTAAAGATTTTATTTATTCATTTTTTTTCCCCCCAAAGCCCCAGTAGATAGTTGTATGTCATAGGTTCACATCCTTCTAGTTGCTGTACGTGGGACTCGGCCTCGCGTTGGACGGAGAAGTGGTGCCTTGGGGCGTGCCTGGGATCCGAACCCGGGCCGCCAGCATCAGAGCACACGCCCTTAACCGCTAAGCCACGGAGCCGGCCCCCTCTTTTCCTTTTTTCTCCCCAAAGCCCTGGTACATAGTTGTATATCCTAATTGCAGGTCTTTCTAGTTCTATGTGGGACGGAACCTCAGCAGGGCTTGATGAGCGGTGAGTAGGTCCATGCCCAGGATCTGAACTGGCGAACCCCGAACCACCCAAGCAGAGTGTGCGAACTTAACCACTATGCCACTAGGCCAGCCCCCTCACATATTCTTCTATTGCTCTGCCCTTCTCTTCCTTCTAAATTCTATGATTTTACAAGCCAGATGCAAATGTTGCCTCCTGCAGGAAGACTTTCTAGATCATTGAATTGACTGCTCTTCTCTCTGATTTCCCAGTCTTCCTTGCCCACATGACTCATCTAGAATTTTAGCCACCTCCTGCCTAAATTTTTTTTTTCTTTCACTCCACAGGACCATGAACTCTGAGAGGCAATGCAAAACAAGTGGGGGATGGTCAGAAACGGGTGAGAGGGTGCTGCAAATCCCAAACACAGAAGGACAATAGTTCCACAGAGGGACTCAAGGTAGAGAAATAGCTCACAGAATCAAAGGTCCTACAGGAATCGCAGGGGTATGCAGCGAACCCATCAGAATTGAGGATGCTCTCCGAGTAATACTTGTAGCTTCTCAGATGTTTGCAAGCCACAAAGTCCCGGGTTCCTGGGGAAACATATGGGGACGGCTGCACTGGTGGTCAGGAAGCCATGACAACTTGTCTTCCTCTCTCTTTCCAAGCGGGATGGTTCAAAAGTGAGACGGTATTCTCAGAAATTTAAAATAAATCCAAATCCAGACACAATAATGACAGTTAACATTTAGAGAGTGCTTTCTGTGTGCAGGACAATGTTCTGAGCGCTTTACATGTATTGTCCCTGTAATCCTCACCTTTCCTAGGCGGTGGGTGTCACACCATCCCTAATTACAGAAAGAGGTGCAGGTTACAGCCTCAGATTTCTGATTACAGCTAGTAAGTGGCAGAGCTGGGAATTAAACCCAAGCCCATGCCTCTAAGCTCTGTGCCATCCCGTGTCCCAGGCACCAGGCTTGAAGACATAACCAGATGTGACACGACCTCCGAGACATGACAAAACCAGGGCAAGGACATTTTCATGCTGTGTTTAGGCAAATAAGAAGGAGGTTGAGTAGCTTTAGGCGGCTTTGTAAGAGCATCCCTTTCACTCTCATAGTGTCTCACTCCTTCTCACAACCTTCCCTGGTCCCTACAACTCCTGCCAAGTGACAGGTGTCACAGCACACCTTCCAGACCTGGCCTGGACTTGCTTGGCCATTACTTTTGGAGAGTACACACTACCCCATCCATGCAAACCCCCGTAAGGCTGTAAGACAGACACATAAGTCCTCACCCTTAATATTTGCTTTGATGGTGTCCATACCTGCCAAGGCATTTTGATCAAATTCAGTAAAAATCTTTACTCATTAGATTTGGTCAGACCACTAAGGGTTTTAACCTGTGTGATGCCAAATGATGAGTTTGGCTGAAAATTTCACCTGTCCATTGTCCTCTTGATCTTATTAGATACAGAGTCAGAGCTGTCTCTGAAGGACGCCCTGCGTCTCAGTGTGCTCCACCAATAATCAAGAATAACCACCTCGAACAGCACGGCCTCCATTCTAACCTTCCTTGCCTGTGATTGCTCCTCACTCCTGACCCAGCACAGAGGGACGGTGACTCCCACTGTGCAAATGGCTTTGCTGTGAAATGATTGTGAAATTCTCATTTAGTCTACAGAATTGTTGCCAGTTACATAAGCTTGAACCATATCGCTGACTGCCAAGGGAGAATTGGCAGAAAGATTTTCAGTTAGAGTCAGGATATTTACTTTTGGGGTATTTCCTATCTTTGCTAGGTAGCTACCGATTGATTGCTGGAGTTATAGCTTTAAGTAACGGTTTTGTAATTCTTTGTTGCCTGTGCACTTCAGGACACTCAACAATGTTTTAAGAAAGCACACAATCCGTAGAGCTGGGATATAACAAATGATATATATACAAGGGGGATGTATATTTATAAAGAGCCGTGTGTTTTCATTTTTAAGATGTGCTATGGGCAGGGCGCTGCTCAGCCCAGGACGTGACGCCCCGGCTCTCTGGCTTTACCTGTCAGATGCCGTCTGGCCCACAGTCTGCAGGAGCACGTTCTTCTTGGATCCCCGCATCTCCTCTCCTCCATTTGGGAAAAAGTCAAAGTGACCCACCCGTTGGTTTATTCGAAAACCTAAAACGTTTGAAAGAGCAATGAGGTTTTCATAAGGCAGGGCTCTCCATGTTAAAACACAAGCGCACACGCTCACAGCTGGAGCATCATGGGGCTCACCCATGAATGGGGTCAGAGGAGCTGCATCTGTGTGGATCACATCAACAAAGTCAGCGTCGGAGGGGTGGAGTTGAACCTCTTCAAGAGTACCCCGGAAATTTGCTTCTACGGGATCTAACCCTAAAAGAGATGGCCAGTGCTGCAGAAAATAGACCTGGCTGTAGATGCTGGCAGGATTGTGGTGTACAGTTGCCCAGGCTGTGCCTTGCACCAACTGAAGAGACGCCATACCCTGCATTTGTGCAGTTCCATGGCCCTGGGTATTGAATATGGGGACATGGATGCTCATTACAAGAATGTTCCAGTGGCATGGATAGAGAAGGGCAGAGGAGCAAAGAAACTTAGTTTTTGTTTGAGCAAGGATTTTTTTTTCCATATAAGATTCTCCCATTTACTTGTATATCTTTCTTCTTCAATATTCTCTTTCTCTTCCCAAGTTTGAAGAAAAAAGGGGCAAAGTAGTATGATGTCATAATTAAGAACACAGACGCTGGGACCAGGCTGCCTAGCTCCAAATCCCTACTCAGCTATTTCTTGGACAAGTTGCATGACCTTGGACAAATCACTTGGCTTTTTTGTGCCTCAGTTTCCCCATTTATAAAATGCGACTAATAGTATGGTTATAATAAGATTAAATGAGATAATATATGTAGCATTTATCACTGTGCCTGGCACAGCCTCATGGGCGTATAAGTAAAATATTAATTTTTATTGTTTCCTCCTGACTATATTTCCTTCTTGGAGGGCTCCTGGATTTGTCAACAGGTTTTTGAAGGTTTGATCAGAGCACTGAAAAGGCATGGACATAATTGTCTGTTGAAAAGAAAAGGAAGAGTTCTTAAAGGAAGAGTCAAACGACAGCAGAACTGGGTTTCAACCTCAGTTCCCTCACTGATTAGCTGTGTGGCCTGTGGCAGGGTATTTGCTTCGCTGAGCCTGTTTCTTCAGTTCTGAGGATTCAGTGAGAAAATGTAAAGCACTTTGCACAATATTTGGGATAAGTAGGCACTTAATCTATGCTACTATAATAATTACGTTAGCATTATTATGATTATATCATATAGATAAATTTTGTTGTTGCTGTTATAATTGAAAGGCTTTGCTTGGGCTAAAGGATGCTTTTGGTGTGATGGTGGCTGGGTCTCTTCCACCAGCAGAGGCAATGGAAGGATAATTCTCATGTTCTACTCTGCCCTTGATTTCAAAGAGAATGGGAAAGGAAATGACAATA